AAAAAAATATATATATATTATTGTGTAAAAATTTGGGCAGCATTTCCCCATAAATATAAGCTTCCCCAAAGCCATAATAACTTGCTGAATACATTTTACAACCCGTTGAATATAATAAGTGTAAATATATTGTAACACCAAAATTTAACACCAAAATTTATAAGTCATGATTACATCAGTGCATTCTTACATTTCTTCTGATAGTGTCCATATTGCCTACACCTAGCACATCGATTTTGTCTTTGTGTGAACTCACCTATGCTGGGAATGCGTTTTTGCTTTGGCCTACCCCTCTTTGGTACAACTCGCGGTGGAAGAAGGCGAACTTCCTTTACGTGATTCGAAATATCCCATTGCGAAGTATCCGGCACATGATAGATTATCTCAGCATACGCAAGAGCCCAAACTTCTGTCCTGTAGTATTTTGAGCATAAATCATAGAGTGACATACCTGCTTCTCTACAACATGATATTGCATGCTCGCATGGTATCTGCTCAAGGTCGAACATACGACAAGTGCAACTCCTCGCTCCAATGTCGACAATTGCAGTGGCCTCTCCACCTGTCACTTGGAACTCAACAGTATTAAGTCTTGTGGCCGTTAGAAATCCCGCTTTGTTGTGCCTCTCACGAAGAGTTTTTTCCACACTTGGCGTTAATAATGTTTTAGTTTTAGAAGCTTCGACCCGCCTGTTATTAAACCACTCTGACATCTTCGCTTGTATAAAATTAAAGAGGGCAATGACAGGGTAATCTCGAACATCTTTGAGCATTGCATTAACTGACTCAGACATGTTTGTGGTCATAATATTATATCGATTTCTTTTAAAATGAGCACGAGACCACATTTCAAAACGAACTTGCTCCTGTAGGTATCTAGCAACACTAGGATATCTTGCAAACAACTCATCAAACAAGACAGAAAACTCGTCAATGCGGTAGGCCTAAGCGGTTTTAAAGAACAATGGTAGAACACTGCTACATCTGAAATTACTCTTATGTTTTGAGACATATGCCATGTGCAACAACCGTGATGTGCTAATGAATAAACTGTAGACAATGCATTACTTATACTTTGATTCCTATCAGAAATAAAAACTAATTCCTCAGAATCAGTGATAATCACCTTCAAGTTCGAGAAGAACCATGTCCAGGATGCATCATTCTCTGAGTCTACAATGGCCCATGCGATTAGATAACAATGACGTTCACTATCCTGTGCAGTGGCAACTAACAACGTACCTCTGAATTTTCCCTTCAACCACGTTCCATCAACATTGATAACTTTCCTCATGCAACCAAAACCTCGTATACAAGGTCCATATGCTAGGAAAAGATAGATAAAACGGTTCTGTTCATCAAAATGAATATTGGTGATGCTGTCGTGATTAGTAAGAGACACCATATGAAAGTATGATGGGAGCTTAGTGAAGCTTTCTTCGGCCGTACCTCTTACGAGTTGAAGTGCATGCTCACGAGCCTTCCATCCTTTGTAATAACTGAAGTCCGTCCCGAATTCGTCACGGGCATATTTCTGAATTGATTTCGGAACCGGACCCTGTTTCACGCCTATAAATTGGTTTTTCATGCAACTTCCAATAACGGAGTACGTTGCTTGCCTGTGCTTCGCTGAACGCTTTTCTAACGAGCAAGAGTGAACACCATTATACTTGCGGATTACAAACATGTTCGACAGTCTCAGTTTGCAGGCTTGGATACGCCACACACATTTCGGATCCACACACTATACTACAAGCACGTCTTTATTTGATTTTGTTGTTCGAAACTCAAACTTCCCTTTCAAAGCTATTAAATGCAGCTTTTCCTCCAAATCATTCTTACTTGTAAAGTACTGACCAACTTCTAAACTAGATCCGTCACTGAAGGTAGATCCATGAGATGATCCAAACTCAGTCTTGTCCATACAAACTAAAGGACCAACAACTTCTACTTCATTTAAAATGGTAAGCGGTTGTGGATCTAGCTGTGGCTGTGACTCTGGTTGTGGTTGTGACTGTGGTGGAATATCATTATGAGTCGAAAACTCATCTGTAGCTACATTACCCATAAAATCACGATCAAAAAAATCATCATGCAAAGGATTTCTCCTAATTTTGACTCCATCAATATGTTCTTCGGGATTCATAAACTTCTCATCCACTATCACGTATAGCGGTACCTCGTGGGCTATATCCTTGAAGAATAACAAATCATTATTATCTTTTATTACAACGGGCAACGATTTCTGTTTCAAATTCGGTACCCATGATAGCTGCAAAGAATGTTTTTGTCCACCAATTCTGTATTTTCTACAAATCTTATCAACGAAGGTTTCGAGAGTATCATTCTCATCCATATATATGCCAATTAAATTACAATCTGTATGCCACACCCAACAACTTTCAGTCTCATCCCATTTTCCTCCAATGTCAAAAAAAATCCTCCACTGAGCCATTAATATGTCATTAAACCAAACCAAATATCCCACGACCAGACTAAGAACATACCATATAATGAGAACATACCATATAATAAGAACAACCCAAGAACAGACCAAGAACAGACTAACAACCGATTGTACAATAAGAACAGACTAAACACTGACAGTGCAATAAGAACAGACCATGAACAGACCACGAACCGACCATGTTATGAGAACAGACCAATAACCGACCATGTTATAAGAGCAGACCAAGAACCGACCATGTTATAAGAACAGACCAAGAACATACCAAGAACCGACCATGTTATTAGAACAGACCAAGAACAGACTAAGAACCGACCATGTTATAAGAACAGACCAAGAACAGACCACGAACCAACCATGTTATAAGAACAGACCAAGAACATACCACGAACCGACCATGTTATAAGAACAGACCAAGAACAAACCAAGAACAGACCACGAACCGACCAAGAACAAACCTTTTTTTTCTAACCCAGCGGATCTTCATCATATCAGACAATGTACACTAGTCTTTTAACATGTAAAATTACTATTTTAATGGATTTTTAACTACATTCTCATCTTAAAAACATATGAACAACAACGAAAAATACCATGAGAGATATAGAAAATGAAAAACTTAGTAGCTCTTCTTCAAACTTCGTTTTGGACGAGAAAAAAACGTTGAATGGGCAAGATAATAATATTAATGAGGTTATGCGACTACGATGACTTGAGAAGAAGAGATGAGAAATTGAAGGTGGCTGGGAGAACAAAATGGCGCGAAATGGAAGAGGAGGAGGAGAAAGAAAACCCTAAAAGCATAATTGATGACGTGGAATGCTGACGTGGAAGTTAGGTTATTTACTCAATTTATTTTTTTGGTGGTTTATTTACTTAAAAACACATTTTACTTAGTCTATTTATACAAAGTTCCCAAAAGGAACAGACTTATTTTTATTTTTATTTTTATTTTATCCTTTACAGAGCAAGAGGGCACAATTGCGTTTGCATTCATACATAAATGAAAAACGAAAAAAAAATCATTTTATATAAAAGTTTGTTGAAATTTTGAAAAGATGGATGTAAAACTTTTTTTATTTTTTTTATTTTCTTGATTCATTTTTATCTTTTAGAGTTTAATTTAGTAAAAAATACTTAAGTAGAGAATTTTTTTTTTTAAAAGTAAGGCAGTAAATATTTAAGGAGGTATATTTGTGGATATAGGGTGTGTTCGCTGTCCCACAAATTTAAAAAAAAAGCAATTTAAGTTTCAATTTTATTTAAATTCATGTTCTTTTAAGTTTGAATTCGAGTTTGAGACTAAAACTCGAGTTTAAGTGTCCCCTTCAACTCGAGTTCAGAAACTCAAACTCAGTATTTTTCTATTCTTAAAAATGCTATAACTTTTTCATTTTAATCCTGATTGAGATGATTTTTTTTCTATGCGTTGACAACGAAAAGACGAATAAAACCCCACTCATATACGCCATTAAAATTTTTCATTACCATTGAGTTTTTATTAAAATACTATCTAAATACAAATTTAAGTTTTGACTCACTCAAACACAAACTCAAAAAAAGATTCTTATCTCAAAACTCAAATGTACACAACCAAACACAAACTCAAGTTATAACTTCAACTCAAAAACTACACTAAAAAAAAACAGGCCCTATGTCTTTGATAAGGTTGCAAGAAAGAGATGTCTAATTAAGGATATGGGCGTGTTCACTTTGTGAACTCCACTTGAATAAGCCCAACTCAAATCACAAAACAGGCCCAAATAAGTGTTCGGGTAAAAAAACTCATATTGTAACTCGAGTTACAATTTGAGTTAATGCCCCAAAATGGAGTTCAACTGCCCCGTGAATTCCCATTAACTCAAATCTAATCTACAGTGCAAAGTGTTCTGCACAACTATGTAATTTTCTCTCGGATTCTCTGTGCACCTTACCGTTTTCTTGTCCCGTTCGTTCGTTTTCGTCCCTCTTCCTCCGACAGCTCTCTCTTCTCTGTCCATGCCCCAAAATGGAGTTCAACTGCCCCGTGAATTCCCATTAACTCGAATCTAATCTATAGTGCAAAGTGTTCTGTACAACTATGTAATTTCTCTCGGATTCTCTACGCACCTTACCGTTTTCTTGTCTCGTTCGTTCGTTTCCATCCCTCTTCCTCTGACAGCTCTCTCTTCTCTGTCCATGCCCATCATCTACAACGATTGTTCCGTTTGAGCCAGATATTTGTTTCATTTGAGCTAGATCTTGTTTCGTTTGAGCCAGATCTTGTTCTATTGACCGAAGAAACGTTTCCTCGCCATTCACTGATTTGTCCAAAACGGAGAAAATAGCTCCTTCATTAGAATCACGACGTCCTCCGTTGGCCGTTGTTCTCTGTAGATGTCTCCACCACCGTCAATCTCAACCTCTACATAACTGGAGATATTATGCCGGTCGTAGACGGCGGAGGAGAATTTTCCATACTTCATCATAATCACATTTGGGGCTATTCATGAAAGATTATACTTGTTCTTCCACCGGATCGAACACGGTAAGCCCTCCTCTCTTTGCCATACGATTTGTGAGATTTGGTTACACATTGGAACAAATGTTAATATGAAAGTTCGGCAGTGAACTAGGCCTTCATAACCCCTACACATTGCACGTTGTTCTGTACTAATCTGTCATTAAGCTTATGCTCAACCTGATTGTAAGATTTATGTATTGTTCCACATCCCGTGAGTAAGAGATTAGTGTAAAATTGGACAAACCGGACCTATATGATGAGAAGCATATTCCAGTCCTTTCTCTGTCCTTTGTCTAAATACATGTTGCTAATTAATCAAAACATTTAAATTAAATCATGGAGATGTTTAGCACTTAGCAAGAGTCCTCCAACGCGTTGAAAAAAAAGAAGAAGCAAAAGATCCCCCTTAGGCCCAAAAATGTTACCACTATAAGTGCATCAGTGCTACTATCTTCTTGGTTTGGCATGATCATGATCTTCATTCTTACCCAAGTCGCCAACAAAGTAATTTCAATTCCACCCTTACAAACATGCCATGTAGTGTAATATTTTACTTCTTAGTATTGCACAATCTTTGGGGCCTGCCTATCTTTGAGGGATCCAAACCAGATAAGTAAAGGTCATCCAAGCTTCTTCCACATGAATAGGAACAGACCAAGATAATATGAGGAGTATCTGATTTCCAAAGCCAATAGAAATATCTCCTTTCGTACTAGTGTTTTTGGTCTAATCACCAAAGTAGTTGGTTCCAAATTAGATACACACTTTTATGTCGAGTACACAACATGCTATAATTTGTGAGTTCTATAAGTAACCCCGATCTTTACATAGCTATTGTCAAAATACAAGTTACTTTTTTTATTTATGCCCTCCACCAAAACCTTCTAGAGCACTTGCAAATGCTATGTCCCTTATCCCCAAGTCCTTCACTGAGAAAAAAAAAGAACCTGATTAAACCTATGAGACCAAAGAAAGGCAGGAAGCCATTTAACACAATGTTTGTAAATGTGTGCAAGGTTTAAAAGCTTCCAATATTCAAAACTTCTAAAAAGACTAATGGATTTAGTACATTGGCTGTAGAGTTTAAGTTAATTATTAAGGATAACATATTTCACATATACGTGAGTCTTTCAACATTGCATTGTTGTGCAGATGAACTCTTTGTTCTTATTAGATTTAGTACTTTGGCAATGATGATTTTCTTGGTATATCAGTTTCGTTGTAGCGATATCCTTTTGGTTTATGGCGTTTATCAGTTGCTACTGCATGTAATTATGTTTTCTTGGATTGAATGTCATGTGTTGTCGTTTGTAATTACATTATGACCTATGCTTTTAAATCCCTGGCCTATTACTATGTGGTTTGGTAGCATAAGTGCCATTCTAGGAGGATAATGCTCCAAAACTGAAATGATATGATTATAACCAAATCTGAGCCAATCAAAAGATTATGTACTTTAATTCTCTTTCTTCTTTATCGTCGCATATGTCGCTTTGTTCTCATAGTTGGTGGTCTTGCTTGTATGTATTAGATGCCGCGACGGAGTGAGGATGACGTGACATTCTATTAGTCTGAGAGACAAAAAACTTGCGCTTTTGAAGCAACTGGCGGACTACAATAAAAACAACAGGGGCCGTCAACCTGAATCGGCGGATTGGGAACAACGAGCGAAAGATTTGTCCCCACTTTTTTCATCACCTATTCCTCCAGGCCGCGTTAAAAAGGTAAAGGAACGACTAAAGAAAAAATTCAACGCGGAGCTTGCCCTCCGCACAAACACCGGACTAGGATGAGATCCAATCAAGAATACCCCATACTTACACTGACGAGTATTAGAATGATTTCTGCGAGGTTAGTATATGGCATACTTACTCCATAAGAGTAACATTCAAAAAAAATTATCTATGAAGACTAAAAAAATTATTTAAGTATGAGCATATTTGATAAAAAAATATTTTAATAAGGAAATTCAGAAAAAAAAAAAGAAACGACTGTTACATTTAAATATATGAAAAATAACTAAAAAAAAGAAGATGGGCTGAAATGCACATTTTAATCAAAACATGTATTTTCACTAAATATTATGTATGCACTTACATGTAAAGTGCATTTTGTAAGATTTCAAATTATCAAAGAATGGACACGTGATTATTACTGTTACATTTCATAAATCTTGTGTCTATTTTAGTGTCAAAGATCAAAATTGAAAAAAAAAATTAAAATTAAGTAATTTACTAAAATTAAAAGTTTAAAGATCAAATTGTCATAATTCTCAAACTTTAGGGATTAGTAGAACTAATAACCCAAATATTTTAGTAGAGGTGTATTCGGGGAAAAAAATTAATAGCATAAATAAAATAAATTATACTTTAATGAGGCGTATTTAAAAAATAAAGAGAGTAAAATAAGAAAAAAAAAAAAAACGATGAGTTTTGGCATTGACACATTTGATACATGTATAAAGATAATATTAGATGGAAGTGTGCGCATTCTGTTTATTATATTTTTCGAGGATTAATTACAAAAATTCCTCTTAATTTATACTTTTTGAAATATTTTATCTCTTAATTTTTGAAAGGTAACATATTTTTTCTTTGAACAATAAAATGTTAACAATAAAGTCCCCCTATTAGGTTTTTTTAACAAAAATTGATATTTAACTTGTTATTTTAGTGTATAAATTTAGTTTGAATTTAAATTTGAACTTTTGATTATAATACATCCATTATTGATGGAATGTAAGTTAAAAATTTTTAATTTATTTTTGGTAAAATAAAAAAAAAATTATGAACTTTTTTGAATATTTAAATTAGTTTAAATTCAAATTAAATTTTAAATCCTAGAATTATTAAAAATATTATTCAAATAGCAAATTAAATATCAATTTCAGTTAAAAACCTTACAAATGAGACTTTTTTTATTAACATTTCATTATTTAAAGGAAACAGATGTTGCATTTTAAAGATCATGAAATAAAATGTTACAAGAGATATAATTTATGGGAAATTTTTATAATTAATCCTTTTTCGGATACAAATTACAATGTCAACGCCCAAAAAATGATTAAAAAAACTGTAAATTATCCCTTAGGCATGCAGCAAGCCAATAACAGGCCATAGCTATCAATATTCACATTATAATATTATTTACATCCTCACCAAATAGCTATATACACTTTCAAGGTCCATTAGTTTGGCACCTCGGCTGCCCATTTTAAGCATGGTTTCTATCACACTCGATCCATCTCTTTTGGTCAACATGTAAACTTAAACGAGCAAACGAACGAGGCCTTACACACACCCCTAGCTTGTAATTATCTACAAGCTTCACCTACAAAATTCTTCAATCAACCTCTTCTCTTCGACCAAAACTTCCGGCTTGGTCTTAAAATTTGCTTCAGCAATGCCATTTTGGGAACATTCCAGTGCTCGACATGCCTGAAGATTTTACAAAGAGCTCTTTGAATTATACATGACAAATTTCTGAATGAAAAGGAGAGGCGATTCAAAAATTCATTAATTTACCTGCATACTTTTCCAGACTCTGCATCCAAAAAATATTCTGTGTACCCACTTGCTGCAATAGAAATTTAACAACTCAAAGATGAGTAAAGTTGATATGAAGTTGAAAGAAAGTAGAGCATAGACTTCCTTCGGGGAAAATAACAGGGAAAAATAAAAGGGTAGAATTGAAGATAGAAGTTTTCTTTTCTATAGTTTTTCCTAACTTGTTCTATGATTTAACGAAATAAGGGGTCTCCAAAACAACCATAGGTTTCTAAAAGAACTAAAAATTGATATTCTTCAGAGATAGTAGTTGCGACGTGGGAACAACCAACAGAACCAGACCCCGAAGCCCACGTAGCGGCTTCATGAGCTGCCCAGTTGCCAGAACAGGGACAGGGGGTTATATGAATATAACTAGAACTTTGCGTCTTTTCGCAATGCAACTAAGTTCCTTAATCCATCTTTAAATCAGTTTGGTGCACATAGACCATTAAGACATACCAGAAAGAATGGGCCTCCAAGGAAATGAGAGGATGCAACTAAATCTCCAGTGCCCAATTCCCTTATCCTGTGTCCAAACGGGGTTCACATCACAAGGAGCAAAAGAAAAATGTTAAGGAATTATCAGTTGTCTGAGATGTTTAATCAGGAAACAATTTAGCATAATAAAAATTAGAGGTTTACTTAAACAGTGAAGTTTGAATTCACACCTCAAAGTCCTCCCATTTCATAAGTTTCATATCAGACTTCTCCAAAAGGGATCCGAAATTCGTGCAGTTCCTTTTGAAACGGAGAAGCCCTTTGAACGAACTAGCTGGGTCGGCAAATTCACACTCCTCTTCATAAGCATCAAGTGTAAGGTTTCCTTATAATCCACAATCCCAGGTACCCAGTTAGTTTCTTAGAACTGAATTATTGTTTGGAATTAAAAGCCCTCATTCTTGCTATCAAAGAGCAATGAAAACGAGAAGAACGAAAATAAACAGAACACACACATAAAGAGTTATAACTACCGTTCATTTCACCGATTCGAGTTTAGAATTTGAATTTTACTATATTAGATCCGTTTAGTTCGTTGATTTAAGTTTTTAATTCGAATTGAGATGTAACTTTATGTAAGAGTTTTTTACTGTAACAAAAAAGTTAAATGTGACTGTTTATGAGAGCTTTTTACTTTAATAAAATTCAAATTCTAAACTCGAATCGTTAAAATGAACGGGGCAAAAAGTTATCAGAAACAGTCACATCTAACTTTTTTACTATAGTAATATACTTTCATATAAAATTATATCTTAATTCGAATTAACGAACTAAACAGACAACCGAAGTGTTTCATTGTCAAAATGTGAGCAACGTTCATTTTCCGCTGCAGAATATCATTGTAATAATAAAAAATAATAAAAAATAAAAAAAGTATAAAAGTACAATCACTCGAGATGCCTCTCTCGAAAACAGTCTGTGTTTGCCTCTACTAAAACCGGTTGTTCTAAAAGTTCTCATATATCTGCTAATTCTGCATGGTAGCAAAAATTACAACCATTGATCATTAGTTAATTACATCAAACAACTGAAACCCAACACAACAATAATCAATCTCAAAGTATTTCCAACACTCCTAGAATATGTTTTAGCAAAAATCAAACGGGTTCTCGGAAAAATGTGTGTGTGAGACAGAGTCTGAGCTATTTGAGCATTGGAAATTGGAACAAGTGACCCCAGTATTCTCATATACGAAACTAGCTAGCACAGCAGAACATATTTCAGAAAATCTCAATGGGTTTTCGAAAAGTACAATTTGAGCATTGAATTGAATCAGACAAGCGAAACGCAAAGACAATGATTATCACCGAATGCTGCTAAGAGTCGTACAGCTGAAGAACTTGCTTTTGCAAAATTCAAAACCTGTGACTAAACACGATCATATCTAAGGATGTCAATGGTGCGGGTCGGTGCGGTTTTTTTTTTTTTGTTGCAGTGAATTGCATTAGAAGAAGAACATGTTTTAGCAACCAAAAAAAAAAAACAGCCGAAACGGGGTTTTCGAAAACCTGTGACGAAGTACGATCTGTCGAAGTCCTGTTTGATGGCCTGCACAATCACGGCACGGTCAACCGGACCCGACCCATCTCTCGCGAGCACAGAGGCTTCTTGTTCGGCAGAATTTCGATCCTCCGGCGATCGGAAAAAGGAAGCGGCGATTCCCAGAAGCTCGGAGGCGTTCCAAGCAACCTTGAGAAGAGCGTTTTCGGGGACTGATTCTGTCTCGACGTCAGAATTGGTTGTTGGGTTCTCTCCGGCGCAGCGAAATCTGTAGAGTTTGTGACGAGGAATTGGCTGATAAATGGAGTGGAGACGGGAGTTGAAGTTTGGAAGGCTAGAAGAGAAGGGAACAATGGTGGCCATATTTGGCTCGAAAAGAATTGAAGCTTTGTTCCACGGGTTTATTTATCTTCTACTTCGGTAAGCGATAGCCATAGAAAACAAAAACAAAAAAGCAAAAAAAGAACAGAAAAAGGGGAAATATTTTTAGTAAAAACTATACTATACAATGAGTGGAGTCGAAGTATGAAGTGAATTTTTTGAAATATTTTACTAATATAACAAATTATATATGGTAATTGTTACAATGAACTATATACTAATTATTTTAGTGATGTTAATTTTTGATATTTATGAAATGTTTTAAATTTCGCGTGGAGAATATTACGAGATCTCATATTTTTGTTCAAAGAGAATCTTAAAGCAATATGATACTATGTTTTGAACTGTCCTCTTTATATCGTTTTTGCCTTTTTAGGATTCTTTTATGTTGCTAGGGGGAATATTTCCAGCACCATATTAGTAGATATAATAATTTGTAAAATTTTACGTTAAAATTTGTAAACTTATTAATATATGATTTTTACAAATTAATGCAACAAGCGACACTAATTTTTGATGAATATTTTATGTTCTATAATTTTTTTATTTTTTGTTTTCAAAAAATAAAATAAAATAAAATAAAAACGACGTCAAAAAATTATGAAATTTTACAGACACGATCCTTACATTTTTCTGGGCATGATTGTAAAAAATGGTCTCAAACAATGACAAAAAAAGTAAAATGCTGTTAAAAAGCCCCCAGCCCACGTAGTGGGGCGCCCAGGGGCCAATTCAGGGGCCGGCACGGGTCAAAAATTTACATATTTATTTATGTTTTACATTCTAAAATTAATATACGATTTTTAGGATTTAATGCAACAAGTGGCACCATTTTTAGATGAATACTCCATTTTTTATGATTTTTTTTATTTTTCGTATTTGAAAAATAAAATAAAATAAAAACAATGTCAAAAAATTATGAAATTTTGTAAACACGATCCTTACCTTTTTCTGGGCATGCATGGAAAAAAATAGCCTAAAAAAATAACAAAAAAGTAAAACACTGTCAAAAAGCCCCCGGCCTACGTAGTGGGGCGACCAGGGGCCGAGATGGGTAAAAAATTTACATTTTTATTTATGTTTTACATTCTAAAATTAATATATGATTTTAAGAAATTAATGTAACAAGCAGTACCATGTTTTGAAGAATATTTTACTTTTTATGATTTTCTTTATTTTTCATTTTTGAAAAATAAAATAAAATATAAACGATGTCAAAAAATAATGAAATTTTGCAGATACAATCATTACATTTTTCTATGCATTTCAGAAAAAATGGCCTCAAAAAATGAAAAAAAAAACTAAAACGTTGTTAAAAAGCCCCCGGCCCGCGTAATGGGGCACCCAGGGGCCGAGATGGCTAAAAAATTTACATTTTTATTTATGTTTTACATTCTAAAATTAACATATGATTTTTAGGAATCAATGCAACAAGCGGCACCATTTTTTGACAAATATTCTATTTTTTATGATTTTCTTTATTTTTCATCTTTGAAAAATAAAATAAAATAAAAATGATGTCAAAAAACTATGAAATTTTGCAGACATGATCCTTACATTTTTCTGGACATGACTGCAAAAAATGGCCTCAAACAATGACAAAAAAGTAAAACTCTGTCAAAAAGCTCCGGGCCCGCGTAGTGGGGCACCAAGGGCAAGTTTAGGGGCCGGGATGGGTCAAAAATTTACATTTTTATTTGTGTTTTGTATTATCAAATTAATATATGATTTTTAAGAATTAATGCAACAAGTGGCACCATTTTTTGATGAATATTCTATTTTTTATGATTTTCATTATTTTTCGTCTTTGAAAAATAAAATAAAATAAAATGAAGTCCAAAAATAATGAAATTTTCCAGAGACGATCTATACATTTTTCTAGGGATGTCAGAAAAAAATAGCCTCAAAAAATGACAAAAAAGTGAAACGCTGTCAAAAAGCCCTCGGCCCGCGTAGTGGGGCACCCAGGGGCGGTCTCAAGGGTCGGGATTGATAAAAAATTTATATTTTTATTCATGTTTTGCATTCTAAAATTAATATATGATTTTTAGGAATTAATGCAGTAAGCGAGACCATTTTTTGATGAATATACTATTTTTTTATGATTTTCTTTATTTTTCGTCTTTGAAAAACAAAATAAAATAAAAACGAAGTGAAAAAACTATAAAATTTTGCAGACATGATCCTTATATTTTTCTGGACATGGCTACAAAAAATGACATCAAACAACGACAAAAAGTAAAACGTTATCAAAAAGCCCTTGGCCCGCATAATGGGGTGCCCAGGGGCAAACTTATGGGCCAGGATGGGTAAAAATTTACTTTTTATTTATGTCTTTTATTCTAAAATTAATATTCAATTTTTTGAAATTAATGCAACAAGCAGTACCATTTTTTTGATGAATATTCTATTTTTTATGATTTTCCTTATTTTTCATCTTTAAAAAATAAATAAAATAAAAACAACGTCAAAAAATAATGAAATTTTGCAGACATGATCTTTACATTTTTCTACGCATATCAGAAAAAAATGGCCTCAAAAAATGACAAAAAAACTAAAACGCTGTTAAAAAGCCCCCGGCCTGCGCCCAGGGCCCGGCCTAGGGGCCGGGAGTGGTCAAAAATTTATATTTTTATTTATGTTTTGCATTCTAAAATTAATATACAATTTTTAGGAATTAATGCAATAAGCGGCACCATTTTTTGATGAATACTCTATTTTTTATGATTTCCTTTATTTGTCATTTTTGAAAAATAAAATAAAATTAAAACGGCGACAAAAAAGTATGAAATTTTGCATACGTGATTCTTAGATTTTTCTAGGAGCGATTGCAAAAAATGGCCTAAAAATGACAAGAAAATGTAAAACGTTGTCAAAAAACCCCCCGCCCCCGTAGTGGGGTGCCCAGGGGTAGGGCCAGCAATATGGGTCACAACACAACGACATGACTCGAAAATGACACGAATTTTGGGGGTTAGGGTTGAGAAAAAAAAGGTTCGGGTCAGAATTGGGTCGACCTGAAATTGACACGAAAATCCGGGTCAATTTCAGGTTGGACCTGCCTAACCCGAACACGACACGAAACTCGTAAAAAACTAAAAAATACATATATTTTTCATTTCATATTTTAAATTTTATTATGAACTTGTGATATCATGATAGTTATACTCAAAATCTTGTACTATTATTTGCTTAATTTCAATGGATGTTATTGTAATTTAGTGTGTTATGAATTTTAAGTTATTTCTAATATGTAAAAAAACTAAATAAAAGTATACAATTTTCGTGTCAATTTCGGGTTCACGGGTCAATTTCGTGTCACGTGTCATTTTCGGGTCGTGTTGTGTCAACTTATAAAGTGGTCGTGTCATGTTCGTGTTGCGGTTTTTAAAAAATTTCGTGTCACGGGTCGTGTTCGGGTTGACTGTAAATTTTAAAAAAACGATCAAAACACGACACGTGATAAGAATTGCCACCCCTACCCAGGGGCCAGCTCAAGGGCTGGGATGGGTAAAAAATTTACATTTTTATTTATGTTTGGCATTCTAAAATTAATATACAATTTTTAGGAATTAATGCAATAAGCGGCAACATTTTGATGAATATTCTATTTTTTATGATTTTACTTATTTTTTGTCTTTAAAAACGTAATAAAATAAAAATGACGTCAACAAATAACAAAATTTTTTAGACAGGATCCTTACACTTTTTGTAACATCCCAATTTTTGGACTTAAACTTTTGTGCTAATTTTGTATGAAGGAATTGTAAGAGAAATGATAAAAGAGTTTAGGGACTAAATTGTAAGGCTTTAGGGGGCATGATTGAAAGAATTTTTGTAGTTGGGGGGCCATATTGCAATATTAAAAAAAATACACATCCAGCTATCCACTCACGTGGCAATACTAATGTTCAGCCAAGCCACAAAGCTCATGCTCCCATAAGACACGTTGAGAGGCTAACAAGACTAAGGGGGCAATAAGAAAAAAAATTTCACGTTTCTTCCACTATCTCATTCTCATTCTCCTTCTTCCTCTGCGTACACTCTCTCATTCTCATTCTCCCTCTCCCTCTGCGTTTTTCTCTTTCCCGCAATTTGGTTTTGGAAAGAGGGCTGCAGCAATTCCGGGAGGAAAAGAGGTTGTTTGAGCAAGGATTCAAGGTAGGGGTTTTCTTCTTCTCCTTCAATTTTCGGATTTAAAATTTGGTGGTTTATTGTCTAGTTTTGTTTATTGATCAAAGGGAATTGTGGATCATCTCTTGAAGTTATGAATTTTCTTTGATTTGGTAAAATTCCTGAATTTTGAGGATTGAATTTCAAGAATTAAGTTTCCTTGAGGATAAAGGGCTTTGAACTTGGTTTATGGAGAAGTGTGTTGAATTACTTGAGGATTTTTATTTATAACCCCTGATTTGGTATATTACGTGTATGAGTTAACAAGGGTGGCTATCCTACTTCACCTTGGTCATGTAATTGCTATTTAGGAGAAGGTTCTCTAAGGAGTTGTTTTGTTGTATGTTAGCATTGAAAACAACGGGCAGCCTTGGGAAAACAGAGAAACCGAATTTCCCAGGAATCATTCCAACCTTGTTAATTAAAGAACCTTGAAATAGATATTTCATACTTTAAATGGAAACTTAAATCACCCTAAAAACTTAAATCACCCTAAAAGGAGCTTTGTAGTTTAAGTTGTAAACTTTTGAATATAAAAAAAAACTGTCAAATGTACTTACTGGACAGAATCTGTTCTTTCAGATTCTGGGAGTATTAGGTGAGGAATTTCAAAAGAAGGTTTACATAATTGGTAACTAGACATCGTGAGCTTCGTATAGCCGCTGGAATCACCTTAAACGGATAACCGTAGCCTAAGATGTACATTTTTGAAGTTGGGCTTAGTGGCTGGTTTTCTGCAGAAAAACCAGAAAAATTTGATGGTTTTCTGCAGAAAAACCAGCAAAATTTGATCTGGTTTATCATGAATTTGGAGACCTAAACGGACCCAAAACTAAGCTTGTGATACCTTTTTGGAAAGCTCTAGAT